AGCCAATCCCTGATTGTAATTTGTACCACGTGCAGTAACTGGATACCAGAGGAAGTACTCCTACCTTGTATTCTATCTTATTTCCAGTTACTTCCACCTTGTTTCTAGTTACTTCTATCTTATTTCCAGTTACTCTTACCTTGATTCTAGTTACTTCTAGCTTTTTCTAACTACTACTAGCTAATGATAATCAAAGTATTAGAAATAATCAACTTAATATAGAATTAATTTAGTGAAAAAAGGTCTTTGATAAATGACTCCCTCACGAAACGATCCCGAACCGTCCAATCTATATGCGCCGTCTTATACCATTACACCACCGAGTTTCTGATGCGATTCCTTGGAAGATAACATACTTATAAAACTTATGAATTAGGCTCATTAGGAATGCCATGAAAAGCAAACAAAGACAATTTGAAAAGCTTTTGTTTCAGAAAGCCGTTCGGGAATTGGAAAACAACAAACGGTGCTTCTTTATTCAAAATTATGAAAACTGAAAACCTTGGTGGAGATGCAATAAATCAATATATTTCTGTTATATGTATTTCCTTCGCTTTTTTCCCCTCCCGAATAATTAATGAGTATGAGAAGTCGTTCAAAGTCCTCCAATTCGGACTGGACGGGATTTCAAGTCCTTGCAATTAGTTCCAGTCCTCGGCTAACGCCTCGGACTGGAACTAATTTCGCGGACTTGAAACCCCGTCCAGTCCGAATTGGAGGACTTTAAACATTACATCCCGAACCGTCCAATTTATATGCGCCGTCTTATACCATTACACCACCGAGTTTCTGATGCGATTCCTTGGAAGATAACATACTTATGAAACTTATGAATTAGGCTCATTGGAACTAATTTCGCGGACTTGAAACCCCGTCCAGTCCTCATTGTCGGACTTTAAACATTACTTAAAACTGAGACCTTTGCTAGTGTTGGGTTGCGATAAAGTGCTGATGACCTTGAACATCAGTTCTTTATATCTGATTTGAACTGATTAATAAAACATCAGTTCTATATATCTGGTATAGAACTGATTAATAAAACATCAGTACTTTATCGGGATATAAAGGCCCATCATGTGACCCAATAGTTCGATGCTCATTGGACTAATAGCTCATGATTTATAATAAGTTTTAGAAGTAGTATAAACTAAATTGTCATTACACCTTGTATATCCACTTGGCGAATAATATTAATTTACATCTAAAAATTTATGAAACATTTTCGGTGGGATCAAAACTTTTCGAAAATTGTTGTCGTGACTGATGACTGAAAAAAGGGATTGAACTTTTATATACGTGAATTAACGATAAAGATAAAGATTAACAGAAGGAAAGCAGCTTACTTGGTCCGAAGCCGATATCAATTCTCACTCCCGTGTCTTTGTAGACTTTCCATGAATGWTGTAGATCCACTGGGCAGCCTTGAATACTATTACATGAAGGTTCCAGTCCAAGTCTTGCGGTTGTTTTCATTAAAATACCACAGTTGAATACACATCTACACAAGGATATGTGGAAGCAAAGCAGCATTTAAGAAAAATCTTGTGAGTCTTCTTCTATTTCTATTTGATTGATTGATTGAATTCTGAACGTGTACACCTGCACCTGCTACTTTTGAGATTATTTTTCATTTAGAAATGAATAAAACCCTATGAAAACATTAAAATATTGCTTTGAAGATAATATTTTTTTCTTATTGACCTCAAGTGTTACTGGAGTAATATAATGCGGTATTATGAGTTTGCATAAAATATTGTTTGTGTGATTTCTTTTATAACAATAACGGCTGCAGAGGTAATTGCACAGTGCAACAGCACCTTTGAGATAAGTCATGGAACGTCACCAAAAGTCATRACAAGATGAAATATTCAAATAAACGTTTAAGCCTGGTTTTAACTACGACTTAAACCTAACCCTATTGCTATGCCCAAGTGCGCAAGGCTCATAAACATCGTGAACACCGACCCAACGCAAKCCCAAACTTAAACGCAAACCAAAACATAAGGATCAAAATGTTTCCATTTCTTGCGCTTAAGTTTGGGACTGCGTTTGCTCTCACTTCACACAAACGCAGACGCAGTGTCTCGACCAATRACAATACTAGTGCCAGTCTTGSAAGAGCATTGTCACATTTTGCCATATTGGCCGCTACACACAATGTAAGTCCTGGCACTAGGAATGTTTCTTGCTGTGCGTTCTGGTGTTTCGCTTTCACACAACATTTGTTTTTGTGTTTGGTTTAGGCTTGCGCTTAGCAATGGGCTTAAKTTTAAGTCGTAGTGAAAACCAGGCTTTACAGCGCTGTAATATAAGAGAAATCGATTTTTTTTAAAAGGTATTACAAGACGACACTAAACATTTAACACTCAATTTTATCAAATTTTTGATCTTAACTTTCAAAATATTCATGAATTTTTTTTGACTTGACATACGTAGCTCGAGATACTGAGCGTTTGAAAGAAAGACACATGAGCGCTAGCTTTTTCGAGAAATTCGAGTTCTTTGTTCTTACATGAAAGTCATTGCAGTAAATAAATAATCAACATTTGAGGTACTTACGCATTTATTTCCAAGAAAAATGTTGAAAATCTCTTATACACTATCTCAATCAATGTGATATAGCTGTATGTGTTTATTAAGCACATACACCTACTTGCGAAAACGTTGTCATAAAAAATAGGACATTTGTATTTTAGTAAAAAGGAATAAATTAAAAAGACAAAAGAAGATCACTGAGGCTGAACGCTTTCTTTTGTTTTGTTTTAATTAATTCCTTTTTACTAAATTCAAATGTTCTATTTTCTATGACAACGTTTCTGCAAGTAGGTGTATCTCAATCTACAATTGACTTAGAACAATATCAATCAATTGACATGCAAGCACTAGCGCGATTTGTTTTGAGTCTTGAGCAAAGTATATCTAGTCAAAATTCTTCAAAAAACTCTCTTAAAGGTTGGATGAACTAAGGGAGGAAATCGGGCTCTAAATATTATGTCATCTGTCGTACATTTGACAAATAAATCCGATTTCTCTGGCTAAAGTTTTATTTGAGCATTTCACATAAGCATTTCACAAAAAAAAACAATAGCTTACAGAAGGTTGTATGGTGGTGGCGCTGGAACGACAGTACATGTTTTCRTCGCCTTTTCATTCCTGAAGTCCTTTGTCACGAATAGAGTGAAAATCAAGCGTGATCCAGCAGCAATGGAGTCACTTTGAAATATAAAAGACCTGGTATTTGCTTTAAGACGACCGTATCCAGTATTGAAACAACCTCCAATAGCCCCTGTCGGCACCCCGTTTTCAACAACACGTAGAGAGCCAACTGTTGAAATKGTAATAGACGGCGATTCGGTTGATCGGTGACAAGTCCATATGTAGTTTAAATCAGTTTCAAAAGGGCGGGCGACCATAGCTGCCGAGTAGAATAGAAGAACAATGTTTGTTTTAAGAGGAGAATTCTTTCGATCAGTGATGGCAAAATGCACCAAAAATTGTCATATTGTCAGAAGGAAAAACAATCAAAACGGGACTGATGGCATCATTTAAGATATTGATTTTTGAATGTTATTGAATTTTTAAAAGGAATTTAGATGGCACCCTTAATTTGGATTTGATTTCCTTAAATTTCAGTGATTACCACTTTTACGCTGGTCATTTTGGATTTCTAGTAACTTGGCTATTCGGTGCATGTACAAMTTTTGGAAAGTTCTGCAAATTTCAACAATCTATAAACCGCTGTCTCATAAAACGTTGAATACTGAAGATAGAATATTCCAAGACAGTCGTTTTATCAAATTAGTTGTTGTGCTAAACATAAACTAAGGGCTGAAAATTAGTCCCATTTAGATGCAGTTTYCTTGCTTTCAATTACTGAATAAACTTGTCATAATTGTCATATCTATWTTGTGAACCCTCTTGAAAACGTAATAATACAATGATGATCCCGGAATCATTGCAGTAATCATGTGTTATTGACTTAAAATTCTTGTCACAGCCCACTTATGTAAAACAAAATACCTGATGAATAAACGTCTCTATCGAACGAATTCCAGCCATGGACTATCATCGGTTGGCCCACAGTGTACAGACAAGTTCCATTACCCTCGATACCTGCCTCAAGAGGGACCTTGGTTATATTGATAAATCTATATGTTAAGTTCCAGGAAGAGGTATTATCGGCAGACCAGGCTTTGACTTCTACATAGTAAACACCCGATCCCAATGAAAATGGTTCGATGGTATAATTCACTTGGTGATTGCTGTTATTAACTCCTGTGTATGTTCCATTGCTTATTTCGATGAGTTTCTCGATTTCCCCTGTCTGAAAACCAATCAGGAATCTTACCGTCGTTTGCATTACTAAGCGACCGTCAACACCATAAGCTTCTATCAAAACCGTTATTATTAAACAGGTGTTAATGACAAAAGGTCTCAAGTCGCATGATGAAATAGTTATAGATGAAATAGTTACTCGCGATATAAGGTTTTAACAAACTCCAAATTTTAGAGAGAATGTGTAAGTTCACTATCGCTTTGCCACAACTTAACCCTCTGCTAATGAGCAAAAYCTGTAAACAAAGATCCTCCTATAGTATTATTGCATCTCTCTTATCTCTCTCTTATGTTTGTAATGAATGGTTTGACTATTTTCTTCTAGGGTGTAACTCCTGACATTGCTTCACTTATGTGACTGGTCGACAGCAAAATGTTAAGTTAGAAAAAATGAAACAAATAACAAAAAGCCTCGATTAACCAAACTCACACCACTAAAACCATGTTAAAAAAGATAATTATGTTTATGAATACAGGATGTTGTAGTCCAGTCGAGTACTAGTCAGGTATGAGGAGTTTTTAAATTCTTAAAGGAGATTATCTCCTCTCGATTGTATAGTTTCTAGCATTTTTAACTCGAATATTGCGAAGCAATCGAAGAGTTATTGGAGGGCGACGAATCTGTCACTCACTCAATCACTCACTTTCCTGTAATTTTGAGCCTGCGCTATTTGTGTTCAGAAATATTAATTTATTCGCATTGTTTTCTAGCAATTTACTCATTAATTTACCGTTATCGGATCGGGTTCCCTGTTCTATATTTGATCGAATTTATTTATTTTTTGGCAAAGAAAGAAATCTAAGGAAATGTCAGCTCCTCTGAGTCTCGAACCTCAGACCTCTTAATTAGAAATCGAAGGAACTCGGCCACGCGTACCAATATTGAATRATTTATATTTTTTTGACATCATGGCATTGAAAATCCCAGTAGAAAGTGGAGATCCTGTCGAGGTCCTGTTGACGTTCAGCTACCGTGTGATAATATTAAATTTAATAATTATTACTTATATTATTTAGCATTTATTTCATCAAATAATAGTTATTTAATAGTTATTTATTTTATGGTTGAGTTTGACACTAGTGTAGAATGTCCGAAATAGATGGTAGAACTAAGATCATGCCGAAAATTCATTTAAAAATAAGGTAAAAAAAAACATTCTGCTTTGCTACTTTACTCATCGTAGCTCTCATTTTAGGTCATAGTAGTTCAAGTTGTTCCAGTAAAAAAGGTCTGAAAAAATGTAAATACCTCTGATATCCTGGCCATTTTTATATGATAGACAGTCTGATTAMAATCCCTACAAGCGGTTTGTATCGTAAAGCTGATATTGTTCGGAAGGGCGCGACTGTACTTGGTTGGATTTACTAAGGTCGTTGTTCCAGAATCCATGATTATTCTAACGTACGTATAATTATCACAGCCTCCAACACCTAAAAAAGTAMAATGATTTGTAACGTGAAGCGACACAAGTATGATGATAGTGGTGATAATAAATGCCTTATTTACCAAAGCCATAAAAATACATATACAAAGTTACAGGCTRAGAATGTTATGAGCTGAATATATGTCATCACACACTTCACACAWTTTTAGAAATTGCACCTTTAATTCTACCCTTTGATGAAAGGCATTATGGGATATTTAGCGAGATTTTATCCGAGATCTTTACAAACCTCTATCGAAAGCTTGTCATAGCGATTGGAAAACACACAGCAGAAAGTTACTATGGTGCACTATGGGCATTCATGGCAATATTTACCCATTCATGCGGTCAGTACTTCTGTGTTCATAAAAGCCTCAGTATCGCGCTGGATGCTTTGCAACCGAATGTCTTTGTTTTTGTACTATTTTCTGATGTAGTGGTTAAGCTTTGCAAGCTTTGAATATTCAGTTCCCTGTTACATTTGTTGAAAGCTTAGCAAGTTTACAACAATTATTTTAATCACCTCTCAATAACTTGAAATAGCCTTCATATCAAAAAAATTTCATATATCACGAAACTACTGGACGAGTCCTGCAAAGTATCCAGAGTGGTACTGAGGTCTTAAAYTAAGATTTGAGAATTAAGGAGAGTAAAATAATTTGTCAAGATTTGTTCTGATAACTAGTAATTATTAACCGCAACTACTGCCGGCCTTCAATAGTTGGCTCTAACAATGTTTCTCGGCCAATCGGATTGATCAAATTGTAATAAAATATCGTTGTAAAAATATCGTTACAACATGACAATTTTTCAAAGGTTCAGATTTTCACTTTTCTTTTCTTCGCCTTTTTAGAGCAGTGATATACAACAACCAACAATGCATTACACGGTATTGGGGTAGATTTCTGAAAGAGGTGTACTGTGGTTTAACATGGCAAACGTTAATCAATTAGAAGCCATTTTCCCGAGATGTTTGCAGACAATTCTAGTTAATGACTCACCAGAAAAATGACGTAATTGCGTTGTCACTTTAGTCAGGTTTACGTTCGTTATGTTTGTGGTAAGCATAGAAATCCCTTCAAGAACATGYGTAAGGTTGGGAAAACTTGTTATAAAATCAACCCGAAACTCTATTTTACCAAGTTCTTYGCTTGGTCTACAAAACAAAACACAAAGATCATCAATAATAGATAAATGGATTTATAAATGGTGCAAAAATACTAATGGTACATATGTTGAGACGGAATTTAATATTGCATATGTCATTAAACAGCCAGTACAGCCTTTTGCAAAAATTATGAGAATTGTTGAAATATCTAAATATCATAATATCGAGTGCATGATGGGTAATCCCGCGCGATGCCCTTAGTCCCTTGTCTTTGTAGTTTAGTTGGTTTTTTTTTGGCGACGGACTTATCCGTAGTTCTGAACATTTTCTTGATGTCAACAATGAATTATTCTGGCAAACCCGCGTGTTCCGGACAATATATGGATACGGATATTATGATATTTAGATATTTAGACAATTCTCATAATTTTTGCAAAGGGCTGTACAAGTACAAAAACAACAATATGTATACCAGATATAGTATCATTAACGTACCAGTATAAAACACCAACAACAAAGCAAATACCAGTACCAACAACAATATCAATAGACTACAGTAACAGCAATACAACAACAACAGTTTATTTATTAAAATCACTCTGAATATATACAAGTACTCACCAACAACAATNCAGGCTACACCGAGAGCATCTGATATTTGCCTTTGATGATTTTCTGAAAGACGGCGCGAGTAGCTTCTTATGCTGGATTCAGACTTGTGTCCCGAGACTCTCATTATGTGTCGGGCTTCAAAGTTGGAGTGATCTAGCACGGTAACTGCCGTTGCTCGTATGCTGTGGTTTGTATATTCTTTAGATAGGTTTGCTGCTTTTGAAATTTCCTTCATAAAATTTCCCAGGGTATTCTTACCGAGTGGAGCTCTGCAGTACCAGCTGTCATTTTCGCTTGCTGTGTCTTTTGGTCGTTGCCACAGGCTTTCTAGTTCAGGATGCAGCTTTGAAACATATAATTCAAATGACTGTACTGGGCACAGTGTTGACCCTGGCTGTTCGTACATTCTTCCTTCGGTCGTAGAGTCGTGAGGGTCATCATTTTCACGGTGATTTTTATCGAGTTCGTCGACAGCTTGATAAACAAACTTTCTGTTCTGTGAGTCAACAGCAATTGCAAAAGTGTTCTTTGTTTGCTGTCTCAAGTTTTCTCTACCTCTTCTGACCAGAAAAAACAAAACATCAAATAGACATTTTTGCTGCAGTCCCTTAGGTGTGTTCAAATCAAAAGATATATACAGTTTTTCTAGGTCATCCTTTGTAATCTCTGGGTGGTGGTTTACTTTAGCCATGCCAATTTTTTTGAGTTGAACTAGCGAAGCTGAAAAAACTCTATTCGATGGACCAAACTCGCCGTCGTCTACAATATTGATATTTTTCTTCGCCATGAGATGCCTTTGAATTCCATATCGTATCGAGTTCATAGTGTTTTTTGAGTAAGGAGTTCCATCTTTTTTCCTCGCATTGGCATAGAATTCTCTGAGAAGACCGTCAAGCTCGCCTTTTTCTAGGTTTTCGAACTCCGCTGTTAATCCTTTTTCCATACAAAAATCCCTCAATATCTTTGTTGCTTGTTTAGTTGCATTTTTTGTAGATTTTGAGTCCTTTTCTTCAAGCAATTGTTCGATATTGACGTCTGCAAACCTTGCTTTGGACTCCATCTTCTCTCTGTTATGAATGAACTTTACAAACGCGCTGAAAGCTTATCACGTGACTTTGTACTTATTGACGGTCCACAACATATTATTGACCGCTGGTGGACAGTTGGCGGGAAACAGTAAAATTTTGTGACTTTCACGTGGTACACTCTCGACCAATAAGATACTAGGAAAAGTGAACTTTGACACTTGATATATAATAATGAACGTTGTATTCCCCTCCATGATGGAAAACAATGTGAGATACAAAAATCAAAAATCAGCATCACATGCATGCATAATTAAATTCACGTGATTTGGAAATTTTTGTCACACATTGTGCCAGTTCTTCCAATCACAAAGGCGTTCAAATCTCTAATTTGCCACGTCATTGACCTTTACCCAGAAACCAGTTCGGGCTAGTCGCGCATCGTGAAACTCTGTCAACGACAACTTTTTGTCAATCGACTATATATTCATATGACCTACATAATCGGTCAACACAATATTTATAGATGTGCCGCCCACCCATCACTTTCAATATTTCTGGAACAGCCACAATGTAAGCTTTGTAGATATGATAAACAACATCAATATAAATAACATGTTGCTAATAAAAGAAATTATTATGAATTATTAAGAGATTATATTTCATCCAGCATGGATTACTAATGAAATTAATTCAGTTTTTTATGTGATCGATTTTTATGCAAAGTGACAATCTTGTGCGATAACTTATAGGCGTCCGTTTTTTCATTTCCGAAATTTTTTTTAAAATGCTAATTCTTGTCTGAAACGGGGTGGTACTGGCTCCCATTAACTCCCATTAAAAATAGAGACAAAAAAATAAAGACATGAAAACGGCAATAACCAAGTAATACCATGATCACTTCGGATTCCATTGTATTCATCATCATTTTTCCATAAATTCTACATACATTTCCATCAAATTTACACACTTTTTACATACACTGTAAATTTGATTTACATCATTCACATGAATTTTCAACCTTCAAGGAGCACGATTTTTTCTAAGGCGGAAGGTTGATGATTTCTAAGAAATTCATACTAGATAATAGGAGTGGTTAACAATGTACAATACTTTTAAGTCGATAAGTATTTAAAAATACTTATAAGTATTTAAAAATACTTATTAAACGAGTGAGCGTAGGGAACAAATGGGGGATTTTCAACAAGAGAATAGGATAAAATTTGTATCTCCAAGCGACCATGTAGTATTCTGGTTATCTTGATAATTATATATGAAAGGAAATTACGTTTTAAAAATAACTTTTATTTACCTTCAATATATAA